CACAGTGGGGGTCAGGGAGACTGATGCTTTAGCTGGATCATGGGCAAAATCTTCAACATTCAACATCGCTCAGCTGTTCTTCTTTTTTCAGAATGTTCAGGGTTGGTTGGGTTGGTCACTGGAATTCACTGGCCCCCAAGCCAAGAAGCGGTTCAAACAAAAAAGAAAAGCGGACATGCGGATCTATGGATGCACTGAACTGTATCCCAGTATGACCCAGTATGTATGATCAAAAAGCTTTACCCCGTGCCGTTGATGCTCCTTTTTTGCATTCCGTTTTGACACGTTCCACTCGGATCTCGGAGGCGGTTGACGCGGCAAGTTTCAGTGTCAACCACTAGCACTGAGAGCCACTGGGTGCTGGTGGGACTGGTGGAATGGCTGTGGCCTTGTGGCGGGGTTCGGGAGTCACAGCTGAGTGGAGGGTGGCACATAGAGGCGCATTTGTTACAAGCACCTCACAAAAAGAAGCTCGAGAAACGACACTCAAATCGAAATCATGGTATTGCAAAAGGAATCATCACCTTTCCATACCTTTCCCAACCTTTTTTTTTTCTTTTACTGTAGTCTAATTACGATCCTTATATTCTTCAAATCCATTCGGAGCGCCGCAAAACTCCCGTTCCAAGTCACCGGCACGACCGACACCGGCACTCCACCGGTCCCGGTCCGTTCTCCACCCCGCTGACGCCATGGACGTCCGACGGTGACCGTCACCGTCCACTCGGACGACCATCACCGTCTCCCCGGCCCGGCCCAACCGAGGTGTAATGCAAACGGCCTATTTGGGCATGCGGAAGCGCCGCTTCAAGTCCCTAAGGGCACCTCGGAGCGGCCAACTGACACGGTGACTTCTTTGTCTCCCGCGGGGGGAGACGATTTTTTCCCCGGCGGAGGAGGGGGGAGGATTTGGCCCCCCCAAAACGGGTGACAGCGGGTGCCCGTTCGAAGGGCGGGTGTGACACATGCATTTGCGATCTCTCAGGATTCAGATTCTTACAGGGACTCTTCCACACATTCGGATGCTTGGTCCTTTTTCACTCGAACCCCCTCGGAGAAAAAAAAAACACAAAACTGCAGGCCGCTGGTGAGAGCGGTCCGCCCAGCGCCCACCCAAACGCAACGCCCACCCCATCGAGGACGTGGTGCGCAAGGTCACGACGGAGATCCGGATCGCGCGGATCTTGGAGAGCTGGACCGTGCCTCGGTGACGAGCACGGAGCACGGAGCACGGCCCCGGTTTTGGGTTCGGAGAAACGGGGTCTGGGCCCGGTGTCCCATGAAAAAGAGATACATAAAGTACCCCAAGTGCCATAGAGTGTTTTTTTGGCGGCCTAATAAAGCCGAGGTTTTGGATGGTTTGTGGGGCTCCCTTGGTGGGGCTGACAGCTTCCGAAAGGTTGGAGTGCACCGGGCAGCACGCGTGGCTGGATGGATCGAAGACCGAGGAAATGACCACTCCCCGGCGCCCGGGGAGCGCTTCGATGGAGACCGAGATGGAGACCTCGCTCATCAGCAAGAACGACATGGACGTCGCAACCTGAGTGGAGAGGGTCAGGACCTTCCTTCCAGAGGACGACCATTGGGCATGATGCTCTCTTGACAACGTCGCATGTTTTATATTCACTTATAAACTCCGATAGTTAAGCAAGGTTTAAACATGTTAAACAATGTTAAACATATTTTTAATGTGTAATTAAAAGCATGAATTTATGCATTAATCTAGTGTTTGACAGAACAATGATCAGAATGAGTAATTTCTCCATTTTGGGGGTATGGGTTTCTTGGTGGCATGCTTTAAAATGCAACAGTGTTGCTTTGTGGAGAGCACACTCTCGCATTTGGTGAGCATGCTTAAAACCAACCAACCAAAATGCATGAACATCAGGATGTCCTGGATTTTCTCCATCTCCTCCTGGTGGCGTTCTCCGTTGAACCGACAGGTGCCGGTTTTTTCACCGCTCCCTCCTTCACTCATCGCTAGCGGCGGATCCGGCACCGGATCCTGAAAACCCTGGCGGATCCTTCCTGGGAGTTTACAGGAATCGCACCATCCTGTGGCGGATGAAACATCTACCAACTCTAAGTGGAGGGGTTCGGATTCTGTTTGGTGGATGGAACCCACGGGTCCTCATGAGAGAAAACCTTTGAAACCTTTGTTGTTTGTAGACCAGTCCAGGGGGACTGGAAGGGTTACAGGTACGATCATTGGGTCTGGAGTTGAGGAATCAAGCTCCCCCCGCCTGGATGGTCGTTCACGTTTTGAGGCCTTTCTGGTGTTTAAATCCTCCACCTTGGCCTTTCCACCTTGGCCTTGGCCGTTCCACCCCAGAATCCTTAAAGAATTAGGAGAATGTGGCCTTCAAGAATTAGGTCCCAGGAGCATCCAATGGGTGCCCAATGGAGACCTGCAAGTAGGGCAGGGTAGTCTATTGGACACCCATTGGATGCTAGGTCTGTTTACTTTTTCCCGGTTGAGATGTGGTGATCCCATGAGAAGATCTTGCTTTGACGCTAGGTTTGGGATGGCGTTGATGTGCGGCGCTGAGGATGTTCCGATGTTTGGGCAGTGCTTGCGACGTTGATGTGTTCACCGAGCGACCCTTCATTCAACCGAAGAGGTGTAAAGGCCTTCTTTTGGGCCACCTGTGTTGATTTTCCTATAAAATCATGTAAAAAAACCTATTGTCATGTTAAATCCCCTTGTGGTAAATATGTTTCGAGGTTCCTGGATAGCAAATCCAAGGTATACAATGGTTTTTGCAAGGGCCATCAAGGGCCTAGGGTGCTGATGCTTCCCAGTGGGTGTCGAAACAGCTAACTGAGCGTAACTGAGCATAGATTTTGCTTCGGGCTTCGGTGAGGGACGTGGAGAGACCTTGCAGAATTCCAGATACAACCAGTCTGGGACCTGGGACCATCCATGGATGGAGGCCATACATTTACCCCCCATGTTCAATTGACGGAATCCATGTAGGTAACTATTCCATGCAGTGTTTGGCTACTGTTGTTGAGGAATCTGCAGTAACAGATGCACCATTGTCAACCATCGTCAAACAGTTTTCCTAGCCGGTCCTAGCCTTGGACCATGGTCCTAGACCACAGGGACCTTTGGAGCTCGGCACCCGTCAACAACTGGCTGGGCGTTCTCGGGACAGGCACCCACCCAGGAAAAGTGGATAACCCTTAAATACATGTTTTGGTGATTTGTTTCCCCACTGTATACAGTATATGCAGCTACTAGAGTGGGGAGTAGAGCTGTATTAGACTGCATGCTGTATTAGAGCCCTACATATGAACAGAAGGACCTTGTATTTCAAGGACTGCCTGATGGAGTCAGACAGGCACAGTTCTGGAGGGACGGCTACATTCCTTTGTTGAGGACAAGCAGTGGCAGCTGAAAGCAAATCTGTGTTGGACAGCCTGTAGAAACAGCAGCTGAAAGCCTAGCCATGGAGGGGTGACCGGGGATTGCTGTTTAACATGTTACAACTATCCACTAGGTTGGTTTCAGATATGCTTTTCAACCTTTACTTGGGATGAGTGAATCCACTGACTAATATGTTCAACAGAGTGGCAACCACCACCCAGTCCAGTCATGTTCGGTGTTTCTTTTGTTACTCGGTGGTAGCGGGTTGAAGGCCTTTGGCTCATTTGACTTCGACGAGCTGTGAATTCAGGTCCTGGATCTGGACCAGAAGTCTCACGAGCCGCTGGGGATGGGGATGGGGTTGGCATCTTCATGCCGTGTTAGGGATTGGAATCTGTGCCCTGCCTACCCTGGGTTTGCTTTAAGGTGACGTTTTTTTTTTTCCCTTTGGTTAAGTCCCCTTCTGGTGATTATTTGGTATATGTTTCAGCAAATCCAAGCTACATCGACCCCCCCAAACCACCCCTGCCCTGATCGACCAATATGGCATACAGAGGAGTGCACACCGGATTGAATAGCAACCGTTTGTGTGTGTTTGTGTTGTTCCGAAAATCGACGCCAAAAAGGGTGTAAAACACGCTTGGCGGGAGAAACAACAGGTCCGGTTCTTTCCACATCCTATATATGTTCCAGATCTTTCATGTTACTATGATAGAGAACTCATGGGAATTGGTGTTCATTCATTCCACGTGGGTCAGGGGCCGCCGGCCATGATGAGTTCAGGCCTGGATGGCAAATCTATATAACTGAAAACGACCACAAAACGACCACGGAGTGTGTGTTGTGATTGGGGATGAGGATGTCCCACATACTGTGACACGACGTGACGGCTGGCCCCGTCGTACCTTCTTTCCACTCAGAAAGTGGCCAGGTGGAGACGGGCAGATTTTCCCTACTCACAGGGAGGGATGCCTGTTCTTGTGAACACTTACATACACGTGCATACATACTGCACAGAGAGAGCGAAAGAGGTAGGTCCACGTGCATACATACCGCACAGAGAGAGAGCGAAAGAGGTAGGTTGGAGAGATTTCCCAAGTTCAGTCTGAGTGTTCGCAGAAAAGCCCGACTCTGAGGCCATTATTTCAGATTTTTATGACGATTTGGCAATCACAAAAAATGAGCTTATTGGTCAAGGCTGCTGGGCTGCAACAAGCGTACTACCCCTGCGCGTCGAGGGCGACGAGTTAGGTTTGGGTCCAAGGGCATCAAAGAGCAAGTCAACATCGGCAACAACATTTGGCAAGCATCCACACATGTCCATACATCTTCACCCTGTACTCTAACCCCATGCCGGTTCGGCAGACCGATGAACTGGAAGATTCACGCGGGAGTGGCGTGGGAGGCTGGGACTGAATCAATTCACGCTCCACTTGCTCTCAACGCTTGCTGTGTCACGGGAATGGCTGTGCATAGACGAAAGACTTGTCGACCACTCACGGATTTCCCTCGAAGCAGCCTTCAGACGACTGCCGAATCGGCCCTGGGTTCCTTGTTCTACTTCCATGAGCTTCGACTTCTGTGGAGTGAAGTTCACCAAGTGTTTCGCGCGTGAATGCTATGGGTTTATGGAGCGGTCGGTCGCCGGGTGTTTTTGGGTCAATTTTCCATAATTTTCCGGCATTTCTCGCCTTGGCAGAGCATTTGGGGTTCGAGTCTCATGGCGCGCAGCGGCTGCGCTGAGCTGCGGGGACCGCGAAATGTGATGACAACAGATTGGCGAAGCAGGTGCGTCCAGTGGTGCAAGTGGTTTCCGTGGGGTTTTGCCAACAATCGCAAGCCGAGCGTGGCTTGAAGAAACGGGTTTTGAGAGGCCTTGTAAGCATATATTATGTGCTGCCTATCGGATCTGAGTGCACCAACGACCAAACAACACACCACCACGTGGACGTGGGTTATGATGTCTGAAATTTGTATTGAAACCTGTGATTTGGAAATTCCCAAGTCCCAAAAAGCTGGGAAGACCAGGTCTTCTATCTCCGGATGTGGAGGCGGTTTAAGGCCAAAGAGTAGATTGAGGGGCACCAGTTTTTTCCGTCTAAAGAGCATGACACCTTTGACCGGCCAAAATCCGGGCCGGGCCACAAATACAGTGCAAGCTCCAGATCCACCCAGTGAACGAATGGGTGCGGTGTGCTCAACGAATGGAACGAAGAGAGTCCGAAGAGGTGGTCCTATGGACCACCCCTTGGGGGGGTAGCCTTCGCCTTCAGAAGCCCGATCCGACCTTGGGACCACTGCGACACTGCTGCTCCTGAGTCGCTCGCGGTTTCACAAGAACATCACTCTTTTTGGGAACTGTCGGCCTGCAACCGAGGCCCCAACATCCACTTTTCACCTAGTATAATAGGATGTAATAGGATATGTGATCCACAAAATACTGTACTTGTCGTTGCTAAGCCAAGCTTTAAGGGAGACAGCAACATTTGACCCCGAAACGCCAGGCAGGGCTGCCAGGAGCCCAATGGAGCATGGGCGAAAAGAAGTTCAAGGAGATGTCATGAGACTGCTCAGGAGTGTTTTTTTCTTTGTTCATTGTCCTTTGTTCGATGTTGTTTGGACTTCCTTTTCAGAAGGAACAGATAGCTTTGGTTAGTTTTTGTGGGGACTATCAGAGATGTCCTTCAGCAAAAACCAGCCTTCGAGTCAAAAGTGACCTGCGGTGGAAAAGCACACCAAGACCAGCTGGTTGGGTTGTCTCCCTTCGACATTCGCCTCAAACAATGAAGGTGCTTCATGCTGCTTCAATGTCGATGTCCCACTATGCTGAGGTCCTCAAGTAATTAAGATATTATGTGCTCGAAGGGCAAATGCAACCCACGATTCGACTGAAAAAGGATCATGCCGCTACAGAAGTATATGTGTACAATCAGGGGTACGGTATCTCCCAGATCCTCCGGCTTCTCTCGGTCGCCCCCCCCGAGCTGGCCGCAGTGAGGTCATGTCCGCCTGCACGGTGCAAATCACCTCCTATGGCCGCTCGAATCGTTGGCAAGAGGCCTGTCGCTTCTTCCAAGAGATGCCAAGCAAAAGCCTTGAGCCAAACACCATCAGTGGCTTAGATGAGTTAGTGACGTGCGAAGACCTGCCAAGGTTGTATATAGTCTCCTTTCGTCCACGCCACTAGGGTATGTTTCTCCCCAGCTTTGAAACACATATTTTTGAAAAGGACATGTCAACGCTTGTCTTCGATCCACCCATTGGCCAAGACAGGTTTCAATGCCATGTTGAGCGCCTGCAGAAACCGTTGGCAGACCGCCGTTGGCGCGGTTTTTCAAGAGATGTCAAGTGAGAGGGGTCATCAGCTGGATGTCATCAGCTTCAGCAGTGCCATTTCATCCGAGATGGGTCATACCTGGCAGTCAACGCTCGAAGTGCTTGTCACCATGAGATTTGCAAGTGTTCTGCCCAATGTATTTAGCTGTAGCGCAGCGATGAGTTCATTAGAGAAAGGCAACCAGTGGCAGCTTTCACTGACCATGTTGGACAGCATGGGCCTCCAGACGATCCAAGCAAACACCGTCACTTTCAATGCAGCAATCAGCTCCTGCGAACAGGGGCACTGGCGTGAAACGTTGGTTCTATTGGAGAAGATGCATTTGAGAAGCATAGAGAAGGATGTTGTAAGCTTCAGTGCAGCCATCAGTTCTTGTGAGAAGGCCGGGCAATGGCAATGTGCCTTGAGTTTGCTTGAAGCTATGCCCCGGATAAGAATACATCCAAATATCATCAGCTTTAGTGCCACTATGAGTGCTTGCGCAGGTGCCAACCAATTGGAAGCAGCACTCCGCTTGTTTCAAATCTTGGCCGTGAAGAAGCTCCAACCCAATGTCATAACCTTTGGTGCGGTCATCAATGCATGTGAGAAGGCTGGGCAATGGCAATTGGCCTTGAGCTTTCTTTCTGCTATGTCCCAGACACGTGTGCGTCGGAATGAATTCATTTACAACTCAGCCATCAGTTCCTGTGAGAAGGGCGGGCACTGGCAGATGGCTCTGGGCCTTTTCACCATGATTACTGAGAAATCCCTTCAACCAGATGTGATCAGCTACAACGCGGTCATCAGCACTTGCGAACTGACACGCGGCCATGGCAATCAGCTCTTTTTCAAGTTTGATTCATGAGTATTTTCCAGTTGGGTAGGGATTAGGCACACAAGGTATGCAGCTTTTTTAGATGTCTTACCAAGATGCAAGTGGCAGCAGCAGGGGCAGGAGCAAGGTCTGCAAGAACGAAACATGAGAGCAGCAAGAACTACCAGCAGCAGCACCACCAGAAAGACAGCACAACAAGGAACAACAACAGCAACAACAGATAACAACAGCAAAGCAGTGTGTTCCTCCATGTTTTACTTGTAGTTATATCATTATATCCTTTTGTTTGGCTCACATTTGGTTGCATGGACATACCTCCTTTGGCCGTGTGGTTCACGGCTTTCCGATCGTAGGTGGTGCGCCGGTTCGCCGGTTGACACCGCTGGTGGCCGTGGACGTTGAAAGCCTAAATGATTCCCAGACACCCCGTGGGACTGGCATCCAGACTCCATGGGACGCATACAGACTCCATGGGACTGGCATAGTTGCAAAACCTGCATTCACCCATGGAGAGCCCGTTCGGATTCGGATTCGGATTGATCAACAAACATCGACGAACGCCCCCACCCATTTCACCCCATGGTCGTTCCGGTGTGTCCGATGGTCTAGGACAGGTCACTGGTGCTTGGCCCTCCGACTGCTGCAGACCGCGGGACTCGTGACGACCGTCACGGCGGGTGCAGCACTGAGCGCCACGGTGCGGCGTGGAGAATGGTCCTTGGCCGGGCAGTTGTTGGACGCCTTGGTGTTCGAGCACCGAGTGGACATCTCCAGGGTTTGTTGGAATGTGGCGCTGAGTTCCTGTGACGTGGCAGTGGCATTCAACATGTTTTCTTTTTCGTTTTGGGAGGATCCAGGCCAGTTTGGAGGGAGCACGCAGTTTGATGATGTTTGATGTTTTGCTTTCTCATGGGTGGTAGCTAGGATCGACTTGATTGATGCAGTTGGACCAAGTCAACGTAAGGGTGAGAGAGTCTGCAGACAGACTGTGGCAGAGAGAGACTGATCCCAGCCATTCATGGGACTGGAAGAGTTACTTGCATATATTAGGATCATACATGGTGTAAATGGGTACGGTAACTCTCTAGTCTTGACCCATCGTCCATCCATCGTGTTTTTGTGATGGAAGAATTGCGCCTGGAGTCCAGTCATGGGTCGTTTTCGTCCATGTTTTTGCGGCGGTTTTGTCCCATGGAGTAGTACCTGGAGTCAAGCTGTTTGTACCTGGAGTCAAGCTGTTTGTACCTCCAGAAATGAGTACAAGCACCAGCAGTTCCAAGTCCCATCCAGTGAGTGGATGTGACAGGGGCACCCCTAGCCTCCGTTCGTTCGGCAATTCGTTGGAACTGCTGGTGCCAGTTCTAGAAGGTCATGTCATGTCATGTCCCATTTTTCTGGGGTACTTTGGAGAGTGTTGGGGATGGGTTACTTTCATGGTGTTTGTTTGGTCCTTGGTATCGAGTTTGTCCGACCCCTGAAGTGACCCTTGCTTGGAATGAGGACACCTAAAGCAAAAAGGGGGACATCACAGGGCTGGGCAGAGGGGAAGTCTTTTTCACACGAATGGTGCGCAGCTCATTTTGTCCAAAGTTCATCGACGCTTGATAGGTGAGAAGGGGCACGGCTGGCATCATGCCTTGCAGATCTTGGACACCTTGGACCAAGATTCAACGGGACCCGATCTCATCAGCTACAACGCAGCTATTGCGTCCTGCGAAAGCGCCACTCGGCAGTGTAGAAATGGCCAAGTTCAAGGAGTTGTGTTTGTTGGCAAATGTTCTTAGTTAGTGTGCCAACCCAAGCCAAGCTGTTTCAATAACAGATAATATTCCATAATATTACTGTATCATATTTGTATATGTATATTGACCTAAAATGTATATAGGGGGTCTTGGAGTTAACCTTGGATAAATCAGCCCTTCACTCTAATTGCCTACATGCTGAGATATTCACTCAAGCACTTTTGACAGAAGTTTCCACCCTGTGGGTCAACCGCTGGGGGCAGTGAGAAAGTCCGGCGGGTCAATCAACTCGAAGAGGATCGATCTCGAGGAGTCCACCGAGACATGATTGGAAAGGGACTGGATCGGAGTTTCCAAGTGACAGGGCGCAACTGAACTGGAGCCGGTGCTCGACTCCACACCCACATCACAGACAGAAGGTGCTCGATTCCTTCAAGAAACACCTGACAGGATTCCTTCAAGGCATTCCCCCTGGAGGGTTATGCCATGTTATTACCCAGACACTCCATGGCATTGGCATATATGCCTACAAGTATGCCTACATTGGGGTGGTTGACCAGGGGTCAATGAAATTGTGTTAGACTCTTAGACCTCCCTTAAGACTCGAAGGGCTCAATTCCTAAGCCTGGTGATTTACCAGGACCATCCAAGGGTGTCCAATGGACTGTATAATTACCCCACACTACCTATAGGCTTCCATTGGGCACCCCTTGGATGGTCCAGGTATAAATGACTTTGCCCAAAAAGGTGATCCTCATCGACTATGGACGATACCCATTGGGTCAGAGGCAGTGACCAATTTCAGTACTGATGTGCTAGCTTTGAAAAGAATCGATTCGGTGATCATGTTCAGGTGATGCGTGCTTGGCCGCATGTGCTTGGCTTATTCCATCAAATGTCGATCTCAGAAGTCCAGCCGGACGTTCTCACTCACAGCTCCGTGATCACGTCCTTCGTCGAGCGCGCGAGCGAGAGCAGACGCGGATCACGTCCTCCGCTTCAAAGCGTGCGGAGAAGTCTCGAGGCGATGGAGACGAAGGCGACCCAGCAACTCTTGAAGGCGTCACGAGGTCCTCCAGCCTGCAGTCCCTCACTGACATGGAAGTGTTGAGCTTGCCATTTGTTCTGTGGGTGGCACCCCCTCGTTACAAGGGTCATTTTGTAGGGGACCATGCCATCCACTTCCATGGCAGACACGGGATGTCCGCCAATCACGGCGAGTCGCCTTGCTTGACGGATCCACTTGTTTCAAAAAGCGCCATGGGACTTGAATGGCAAGAATGATGAATCTGGACGAGACTTTTGATGCGTTGTACGTTGTGAAGTTCTTTTAAAAGGATCATGTTTCAGCTCACTAATTTCTCACCGATGTGGTGAGAATTCAGATTGATATTTGGTTCAATTGTACATGCAATGCATTGAAAGTGCTGTACAGTAGTTTTGTCCGTTTTCTTGAGTGTCGATGGCCAACCCGGAGAAGGGTGCAAACCGCGGTTTGCACCGCCGCTGCCCAGCTCTTTGGGCCGAGGACAAAAGGATTGTGGATGGCTGGGGAAACAAGGCTGCCAGGCCTACATCGCTGCTTCCCCCATGTCACGAGTGTCCATTTGTTTGACAAGTTTTTGTAGAACTACCCCTTATAGTCACAGGATTTGTTCTTCTACACTGCGTAAACACCCGGTCTCAAACATTGAATCTGCCAGCAGGTCATGATCATCTCAGTTCTGGGTTCACACAACCTTCAGGACTTGAAGGGTTCAGTTGTCCCTTCAAGTCGTTCTGCTCACCGAAGCACCAGCCGTCTATAGCCGTTTGGGGCTTCGCACGGCCGAAGGCCGCTTCGCCTAAGCCGCTCCGGCCTAGGCCCGGATGCAGAAGGTGCAAGAGTATGTCCGGGCGGTGGAAGCGGGGTATCATCGCGCGTTCCTTGGAGATCGAGTGTTGACCGTGTGTGTGTGTGTGTGTGTGTCCAACCCTGGACAAAGGGTCTTCCACCACCACTCTTTCCACTTTACATGGGCAGGGGGACTGTCTACCCCACAGAAGTGACAGTCCAACGAAGAGGCTTCTGTGGCGGTACTGATATCAGTTCCGGACGCGGAACTGACGTACCTGCTTTCAACACACTGACTCCACTGGTCCACCCTGCCGCTGTTCGTTGGTTCCATGGTTCTTCTTCACGATGCTCTCCCACAAACAGGTTTCTTTCAGCAGCCGACCGCAGACTTGCACAGCTTTGCAGCCGCGTCTTTCGAGTGCGATTGGAAACCAAGGTGAACCATACTGTTTCAGCTGACTTTTCCACCTTGCGGTTCTTCGCCATCCTTCCCATCGGAGAAATTGAGCTAACTGAATACAAATTGTCGAAGTGTGTCCCGCTCAGCCGTCCCACTCGGGTGCTGAGTGTGATCCCCGTCACAGGGGCGCCGATCTTGCATGGGAAAGCAACCACCCCAACGCACCACCGCTCACTGGACTCTCACAGGAAGGCACCGACACCCTCACAGAATCAACTGCCACATCGGCCGCCGGGCCAAAAAACGGTTCTTGAAGAATACTTCGGATTCCAGCTTTCAGATTTCAGCATTCAGATTTCTTTTCATGTCTTCCAATCATGTGCGTGTTTCCATGTTTGCTATGTTGATGCCGCGATTCTTTCATCGACAGAACTCAAGGATGGGCATTACAGCTCTTCAGCTTAATTCGAGATGCATGAACACACACCTACCAACAAGCTCACATCTAGCACCACCTTACAACATACTCACCATCGACACCAGAGATGAAACCTTCAACAACAACAAGACAATACAACTCGGCACTTCCCCGCTGCTTTTTGCTGCCGCGCCGCGCCGCGCCATAGCTACGACCACGACATGCATTTTCCGTGGCCCTACGCTCACACCACGCCACCACCATTACCTACCACACAACCTCAACCCACATGGCCGATGCCACAACCATCAACTGCACCCACTTTTCCCCCGACACAACCATCGGCATACCCTCACCCACAACCACAACCATTTCAACCACCACCTTTTTTGTCCAACCCTACCGCCACTGCACTGACCTACGGCACACCAT